ACATTTTACAGCGTCATATTCGTGGCAGAAATACGTCAGTGAAGTCTTAATGGACCACTGAATTAAAAATTTTCGTGTTAAAGAGAGATCGATTAGCCAACATTTTATTTTTCAGCCTAGTGATCTGTAAGAGCTAGTTGTACTAGCTGAATGTTAGCAGGTTATACAGAGTGTCAAAAATATCACGCGTGTCGATTTTAAAAAAGAGGAACGTCGTTACTAAGCGCAGCGCACCTAGTGCATGTTGTTCCCAGTATACTGTAGTGGCCACTACTAATTTTTGGTAATAAGGTTAATTAATTAAAATTACGTTTCTAGCTCGATAAATACTTTAATTATTAAAATGTCAATGATGCATATATAGGTATGTTCAAATGACGCCTAACTGTGCCATTTTGAACAACGTACAAAGGGCATGCTTGCTTTTCTTTTTTTTTTCTTTGTGGCTACTCAAAAAAACCCTCGAAACCTGCGCGCGCGCGCGCGCGCGCGAGTGGTTCTTAAGATAGAGAAAGGAAGAGAAAAGTGAGCCCCGTTATTGTCTGCTTCAGGAGCGACACCGCCACAGAGCTCACAAGGGATGGGGGTGAGAAGGGATAAAAGGGTGGAGGTAAAGGTATAGAAAAGAGGAAGAAGAAGCAACAACAAACTGAGGGGATAGGAGAGACAGGAAAGATGGAAAAACGGTCACTGGAGTCCGAGGACGGGGTACACTTGCGAGAGATGTTGTCGGCGTCTGTAGATGGCATAGAGCAGGTCCAGTAGGTCAGAGCTGCGCTGTCACCGAAGACCGTCGGCGACAGGAGGTGACGTAGGGCCAGCCCAGTCGGCCAGAGCTACGATGACGCCGAAGGTCGCGAGCGCGCGGAGCGCGCGGGCGCACAACCGGTCGGCACGAAATCCAGGGAGCGACTCCTCGAAACCTGAAAATTGCATGTGACTAGAGAGAAGCATGCATGAGGAACCAGCGCCTTCAAACAGGATCACTGGGAGGTAACAAGCCGAGACTACGCTGTCATATTTCGAGGGTGGGGGGGGGGGGGGCGTATACTCACACGTTATTTTTCAAATTTAGCTTGCTTCGTTTATCAGCCGTGGAAAATGAGCACATAATTAGTACGTTACAGAAAAAAGGCAGAGTTAGATGTGATTTGAGCATGCGTACAGATGCCTCATTGACCTATCAATGAGGTAGGTCATTACTTGTTGAGTTACGAACGTTATTAGAAATAAATAACTAAACTGCATCAACAAAAATATTGTAGTAGCTACTATAGTAAACCGGGAACCATATGCACTAGATTCTTGTTGCTGGTCACCTATTAGTTCGGGCACCCACCCAATGTAAATTGGCGTGCTTCGCATAACGGCGTTTCTATATTTTAAATGCGAAGCATTTTTTTGCGTACTACAGGCACATTCATGGTCTATCTATCTATCTATCTATCTATCTATCTATCTATCTATCTATCTATCTATCTATCTATCTATCTATCTATCTATCTATCTATCTATCTACCTATCTATCTATCTATCTGTCTGTCCAGCGATCTGCCTATCTATTTATTTATCTATCTATCTATCGATCTAGTCACCTACGTCTGGGTGCTCTCATGACCACCCCCTTAACTTGTGGTAAACCAAAATTATTGTGGGAAGGTAGGATGGTTCGATGAATATGACTCACTAGTCATGACATGAATAAGCTCACAATCCCTTCGCGTACTTCGTCAAACCCTTTCCGCCACATGTGTGGTACATACCCGCGGGCCGGTATGTGTCACAGGTATGCGGGTATGTGCCACAAGTAGTTGACATTTTATATACTTTCACGATTGGCGAGAACAGACATGGGTTATATTAATGTGTGAACATTAATAAAAAGCTCTCATCGCTAGCGTTTACCCGACGAATGCAAAGATTAGGTATCAGGGCCCCAGCAGGAATCGAACCCCAGCGTGCTGAGTGGCAATCAAGTATTCTAACACAGAGCCACGCCAGGTCTCGTAAATTGTTTTCAAATAGACGCTAATGTTCGTGAAACGTCCATTGTGGTTGCAGTGCTGGCTATTCAAATTTATAAACATTACACATGTACTCCTACGATACAGCAGTCACGTCGGATTAACGTCAAATGTACTTAAGCGCCACCCACTGAAGTTCATTTATGTAGCAGTGTCCAGGGCAACCATCCTCGTGAGCACCAGTGTGTCATATAAGCTTAGTGCTTCTGGTGTTTCTAATATCCACGTAGCTGTTGGCATCGTTACGCAACTGTAAGGAACTGGTTATATAAAACATATGCGGCTGTTTGACGTATGTCTGTACATGCATTTGTACAAATCCTTAGCGCCCTTTTGTAGCGTTTCGCTGAATAAGAAAAATTGCAATACGGTCGCCTTCCATCCGCATGCTTTGCGAAACATTGATTTTCAAGGTACGTGGGTTCTTCCGAATGTTTTTATGAACGATGATTGGAACACCCTGTATATACGCAACGGTACTCAAAAGTAATCGTTCTGGCGCTGTTTTGGGTGGGGCTACCGTTGCACGCAAATTCTCTCGCAAAATAAGCATCATGCCCCACCTTTCGAGTTCTTTGCCTCCGAGGAATTCTCCCAGGCAGCATTTCTCAGGGCACAGAGATTTTCTTCTTTTTTGTTGGTTCTTTGTTTCGTGAAAGCTTTTCTTTTTTCCGCTCGGCGCTTTCTTCTTCATTGAAGTGAGCAAGCAAGTGGCTGTGAAGGTTGTTTTTTTTTTTTCGCGCTCCGGCATTGTGAATTATTGCTTATTGCAATATTACACGCTGTTTAGATGGGCACTTCAACGAGAGAAAAATAAGGGAATAAGTCATTTTCTCTCCTTGAAAAAAGTGGAAAATGTCCCTTCCTGAGAAATTTTTTTCTGGACGGCTATCAGTTGCACGATCAGACGAAAATGTCTATCTATCTATCTATCTATCTATCTATCTATCTATCTATCTATCTATCTATCTATGTATCTATCTATCTATCTATCTATCTATCTATCTATCTAGCCACCTACGACTTTTACCTCTCCTGGCCGTTTCAATAATGGCATCCATGCCAAACTCGGTATGACATAACATTACTGTATGAAGAACATATTTGACTAGTCATAACATAAAAATCATGATTTATATGTCATAAGTGTCATGATTTACATTTTATGGTCCTGCAACTCTTGCAGTGGTTTCGTTCACATGGCATGTTGGAAAACTGGTATGGTATAACATTATTGCATGGCGAACACAAGCGACAGACCCCAACATGAAAATAATGACACGCGTGTCATGTAACAACACGACTATGTTACACACTCATGATGCGCTCACGGCTGTTTCGATAGCGTCACATATACCAAATTTGGTATTACGGTACGTGAATGAATGACGAAATATATGGCTGGTGCAAAGATGATAATCCTCACACGCATTTCATGTAGGAACATGACAACATACCACCCTTATAGCGTGCTTGCAGCCGCTTTGCTAGCTCCACATTACTAATTTTGATATCACGTGACGCGAAAAGATGACGAAGGTAAACTACACATCCAAACATGATAATCATGATACGGAAGTCATGTACGGCATCATTTACCTCCACCTCGTAATGTCGTGATGAATTTAAAATGAAACATCAACATTTCTCATTCGTGCTTCGCATATCATCGATTCCCACTATACGTGGGATATGGCAATTTTTTTTTCGGCACAAAACAGACGATTACAAAAGGCCTTTGTTTCTCGATCTTTCATGGTCTTATGTCTCACGCTGAATAATGCTCGCTCAAGGTCAATCACTTGAACCAACTTGAACCAAAGTCTTGCGAAGCAAGCTTCGCCACAGTAACGTCTTTTATAAGGAGAAGCCGACCTTTCATTTTGTTTCCTGGAATTTTTGTTTTGCCGGAAAGGTTGGCAAATCTAGAGCGATGCATGGTGTCTATTAAACAATGAATAACCTTTATAATAAATGCGCCTCTCAGATTATGGGTTTATTGTTTCTTCGAATGTAAAACACTATATCTTCTTGCGCAATGCTATCAACTCATCTTCAGCATTACTATCAGCCTTATCTCGACTCACGTTTACTCTTCCATCTACCCCTTGTATTCCAAAAAGGTATCGTTCATACACAAAATCGATATTCATTTAACAGAGGCGTCAATTACATTGAAGAAAGGTGTTTTGACTTCCCCCACCAACTTTTCTAGAGACGTTCTTGACAAACATATATTTTCATATCTAAGAAGAATGTTCTTACTTGTTTGCGACCACTCATAATTCGTGTTCGAAGGTACTATATCAAAATACACCCAGAAGAGCCCCGATTGCCTGAGATATTGGTGTGAAAAGACATTGACGCCAAAGTCGAAAAACCTGATTCTACGCAAACCAACTATGAGTAGATTCACTCGAACTCACTCCGACTAAAATCGAGCCATGAGTTTGAGTGTGGGTGAGTAATATTTTCCCGAGTGTAGTCCGAGCGAGCCTGGCTCGGGAAAATTTTGGTGCTTCCGAGTCCGAGTGAGCCCTATGCGCAAAATATATTCCATAAGAGAGTTTGAGGGAGCTCCACAAGTTTTGTCGACCTAGAGCTTGAAAAAGGTCGGTCTACATGATGGACGCTTCACAGCAACAGTGTGTGAATAAGATTCAAGTTGGAATAAAGCTGCAAAAGCCACGACACTATATAGGAAATGCATGAAGGTTCTTCGAAAACCTTGAAAGGTAAAATAATTCATCCTGGTGCGAAAAACACAAGTTTTACGAGGGTTTATTCACTTCGCGTATTTTCGAAAATTCTGTTTCAGTAGTTTTGTCATCGTTTCAGTAGTTTTGTGACTAAGCAGTTAACTTGGATAGCATATTTGTGCTCGGAAAGATAATCCACAACCTCATTTGCGTTATGCTTTAGCTTCCAAATAAGTTGGTTTTTGCGTAAAGTGTCATCACTACATAAGCTGAAGAGTTTATAAAATAAAACAGTAAAAGTACGTCGCTTTATTAGTTTCGACTGATAGTGACACACAAAACACGAAGTCGGTCGCAGAGCTCAAACAGCACACCACATGTAAGAAGTTACAGATGCTATAAAGCGCACTACTTCTTCTTCTTCTTCTTTTTTCCTTTGCTTTTCTTCTTCTTTTTACCCTTGGAGTGTTTCTTCTTGTGTTTGGATCCCTTCTTGCTTTTTTTCTTTTTGTTTTTGGAGCCCTTCTTCTTCTTTTTCTTCTTGTGTTTAGAGCCCTTCTTGCTGCCCTTCTTGCTGCTCTTCTTTGAAGAATCGCTCTCGCTCGTCTCGGAGGGACTGGTGGCGGCGGACGTCGTCGGAGTCTTGCGCCCTTCCACCTGGATGGGAATGATGAACTCTTTACCCACGGCCGGCTGCATCAGGTACTCCTCTCCGGGCAGGAACTCGCCGCGGTACACCTCGTGCACCACTCTACGCGCTAGTCGGTCGTCTCGCGGGCGACGGCCGAACTCGTCGGCCATCGGTCCACCGCCTGCTGCCGGCGACGCACCGCCGCTACGCAATCCTGTGGACGGAGACCCTCCACTAGCCTGCGCCATGTACTGCTGCTGCTCCTGTCCATACGCCTGCTGTGCGCCCAGCATGGTTTGTTGGTGGAACATGATAGGGTCGTTCTCCAGGAGCCTGTTCATTTGCTGGATCTGCTGGAGTCGGAGGAATGTCTCCACGTCACCGGTGGCCAGAAGGTCTCGCTCGTTGCGAACGCGACCGCTCAAGCCGGCAGTTGCACCGGCAGGCTGGTCCCTGCCCATCAGAATGTCTATGTCGCTCATCCCGCCCTTCTTGCCTTTGCCCTTCTTGCCTTTGCGTTTGCTCTTTTTGCGCTTAGGCTTGCGCTCGGGGTGCCGGCTCTTCAGACAACGCAGCTCGTAGCTCACGCACAGGTTGAACATGTATATCAGCGAATTGGTGATGCTGAGTACCTGTGCAGAAAGAAGCATCCGTGACATTCAACGATCCTAATTACACTTACACTGCTGGTGCTATAATAGGCTGACGAAGGGCTCACTTTCAGCTAAGTGAAGAAATCAGCGTATATGCGTAACTTATTATCGCTTCACCCTAAACTGGGGCCCGCGTCAAAAAATAAATAAAAGTGAATAATAAATAGGGTGTGGGGGGAGGGGTTACGGATCCAAGCTTTCTCCATATTTTGCTGGTTTAGGTGACGCTTTCTGTTGGACCTACGTGAAGTTGGTATGAACTATGGAAAAATGTAGCGCAAAACCCGCATAACAGTAAGGGAAACAACCCAACAAACAGCTGTTTCAAAACGACAAAATAAAAGCCGTTGATTACGTTTTGAGGTTGAAACATATACACGTGCGCAGAGATACATTACCCCTCCTGCAATTGTCTGCTTGATGTCGCCATGCATGTACTCTTCATAGATGAAACCCACGGTGAAAGGGAAGTATGTGATGGTGGCCAAAAGATAGTTAATACGATACTGAAAAAAAAAGAAAACAATACTAAGCAGATATGTTGGAATGTTAAGAAGTGAAAAGGTCACAAACAATCAATAAAACATGGTAAGTGTCAAAATACGCCAAAAAGGTCAAATGTTTCATGTTTTCTGCTGCTAATTAAGAGCTCGTGGATGATTCTGCACCAAAATATACTACTATATTCTACTCATTTTATGAGGACACGCTTACTTAACGATTTTATTTGCTCCCAATCATTGCCTCAAAATGCAACAATGAATATTTCATCGGCAGATTTACTTATCTGAAGCTGAATGACGACGAGCGATTGCCCGCGACTAACACAATCGCAGACGCATACAGGGTGTTTCAAGATATCTGCTTACTACAATCGGCATTCCTTTTGCTATGACGGAAAGCATCCTTAGATGTATGCAAACAATTACTGCAGTAATTAAAAAATAACGCCATTAACTTATTAACGAGTGGAAGTTAGCAGTCAATTCAAATGAGCGAATTCAAGCCGTTCCTGCGAACCGTCTATAGACACTTTGAAATCTCTGAAAGGCGGCCACAGGTGACCACCGCGTGGCAATAAAAACTGGCCAATTTAGCAGGCAAAACCTAAACCGACCCGCCCAACAGCGCATCTACCATCCACTTCAAAAACTCCCTGAATGCCCACACTGTTTCCCTCGCATTGAGGTAGAAGGATAAGCGAGCGTCAATAAGCGGCCATGCGACAAGACAAAAAAGCTCTGCCACGAAACGAAGTATCTAAATTGACGGTTGATAACGGCGATGGAAACAGTGTCGTCATTGAGTGAGTTTTCTAAGTGAATGGTAGATGCGCTATCTGATGCATCAGTTTCGGTTCCACCTGCTAAATTAGCCAGATTCCATCACCCCACAATGATTACCAGTGCCCGCCTTTCAAAAATTTTCAAGTAGCTATTAACTGTTCTTAGGAAGGACTTGAATTTGGCTAGACCACTTATTTACACTGGCTAAAGAGTTAATTGTGTCAATTTTGATAATTAGTGCTGTAATTACTGTTTGTACGCATCGGGAAATGCCTTCTGCCACAGTAATAAAAATGGCGCAGGTAGCACGCAGATACTTCGCGTCTTTTCTTTTTTTAATAATATTGTACACATTTCTTGAAACACCCTGTATGGGTCGAAAGATACACAGGGGAAGTACATTGTACAAGAAGTCACACTAGACAGGCATAATAACTAAAACAACGAAGTGTGGTAAATATGAGATTTTACATACCAAAAACACGATATCCTTTAGAAGCACGCCATTATGACCACCCATGAAGTCTACTGTGACTCCAACCAAAGCACGCGGGCGCTTTCTGGATTCGCGTTCTTCGAAATGGAACTGCTGTGGTCGATATCGAACGTACTACTTCGAGACCAACCGAGCTACATTAGGTACCGGACAGTGACACAGAACCCCATAAGGTTCACTGCTCTACCATTGTGTTGTGCAGCACCAGATTTTAACACTACACAAGTAATTGTTAAAAATCCCGCAGTAGCAAATGGATGAATAAAAAAACAACCGCCGGAACAACTTCTGTCGCAAGTGCTAACTATAGGGAAAAGGCGTCTTCCCAAAGCTGCCAAACTGACGCATATCCACTTCCTATGCTAACCATAGCATATTCCCAAGTAGCGCCCGTAATTTGATATGCGCTTGATTCTCGAATGTTCTTATGTTAGCAAGCCGCCATGCTAGTAAGCACTCGTAAATATTAATCAAGGATGCGCATATTGCTCACAATTTTCTCTCTCTCCCTACTCTCTCTCTCTGTCTCTCTCTTGTAAACGCCGTGTTTTAATTAAGCTCGATTGCTCTCCTTATAGTATACATATATGCATAACATTACTTTAAGACGACAGTCTTATAAATCTATATTTCAGGGTCGCGCATGAGAGCCACAGTAAATACCCCGTGGGCGCGTCAGCTGCGCGTCCACTTCGTCCCGCGGCGTTGACATGAGTGAAAAATTGAAAGAAAAGCGCCGATACCACACCCCAGACGCGAGCAGGAAAGAGCGCACTGTGTCACAAGGTATCTGTTTCCGTACCAACGCAGCTTCTCTTTCGCGTCGGATTAGCCTATATATGACATCTCGTTGCCTCCAGAACGCGGCTTCAAAATGCGCGGATATCACACGACCAGGTCCCAGTCGTGGGTGGGAAAAATCGACAAAGCATATATATACTCCACGGTGGAAGAGGCTAGAGAAGCTTAAAATTCCGCTCGTTGTAACCACCACCGGGAGGATTGTGGCAGCGGCCCTACGAGAGCAACATGCAAGAGCAACAGCAGCAGATGTACCCGATGTGTACTGCCATCCAATTCGATTTTCTTATTCACATTTATTTCCCAATCATGACAAATAACGTCCCCTGAACATTTCTTGGCTTCATTGCATCTCGGTCGTCATTTATGGGGCCCTGATGCCACGCAGGCATTTTGAGAGTGAAGAATGGGTGCAGAGAGAAAAGTTAGATCCGCTAAAGTTAAGATCAGCAGAAAACTCAACAGAAACCTCAACAAAAAATCCAACAAAGCTCTCAACTTCACATTTTTAGAAAGTTCTCAATATCCTACATATTCTCTTTTTTGTGTGTGTGACAGCATGTCTGTTGCTATTGTCTCGCTGTATCGTAGGCCGAGGAGGATTTAAGCAAGCTTGAGAAAACAGTGGTCGTCCGTGACCGGTTTAAGCTGCTCGTGCGCTATGCGTACAATGCCGTGAGCTCGGCTTACATTTGCTTCGCATCGCGCTGCAAGCGACTCCATCGCAAGCTCAGCGTGGATAACTGCAATCCCCAAAAATTTTATTATGGAAGAAACATAGTTATTGCTGTACATGAACACCTTGAAGGGGCCCTGCATCACTTTTGCTGCGTGGTCCGAAAACGCTGCCGATCGATAGTAGAGGCTCCACACGTTCGTCAAACATTTCAGCGAAGCACGCAGCCCGTGATCTACAATTAATACTCAAAGTCAGCTGCAAAGCGCACGCTCTTCTCTCGCAAGTGATGCCATAAACCCAAATTACCGCGCCATAAATCCAAAGTTTACGACCATTGACTGACTTGAACATCGTGAGCTGCATAATTAACGCAGCCGACGCGGGATGCCGCTGCGCGCCCGCACGCGTTAGGGGCTTTAGCACGCGTGCTCGCGATAACACTGAAAGTCAGCTGTGCGTTGAAAGAAAAAACAAAAATGAAAGAAAGCGCTAGAGTGCTGATGAAAGGACGGAGCGTCTCGCCCTCTTGACATCCCTTCCAGCTTCCTCACCCCTTCCGCGTAGCCTTCAGCGCACTCGCTATCCCTTCCATGTAACTCCGCCGGCTCGTACTTGGCGAATTCCGAAAATTTGTTGCGGAAGTCGATTCATGAGGCAATAAGCTTTTTTAATGAAGCCATTAAAGCCAGAGCAGTGAGCCAAAGCCATTAAAGCCAGAGCAGCGATGGCGTAGTGGTTAGAGCATTCACCTCGCATGCAAAAGGTCCGTGGCTCAAATCCCGGTGCCGCGCAGTTCCCAACCGGATAAAAAAAAATCCGCGTGGTGATGGAACTGCATTAAGAGGCCTGGGGTGCGGCCTCACCGGTAACCACCGCCGGGAACGCACTCCCTCACCAGCGAAGGATTGGCCACCCTGGTGCAGTATCTGGCCACTACCTCCCACATGCATACGTCAATTAACTCGCGTCCCTCAGTCCCCAGCAGCTGCGAAGCAACTGACCACGCCGGTGGTCAGATCTGCAACGCAGCAGAAGGTGCTAAGAATCTCTGGATCCGGACAGGCCGCCATTGGAACCTGAACTTGGCAACGTTTAACGCTAGAACCTTATCTAGTGAGGGAAGTCCAGTTGTACTATTCGAGGAGCTATAGGGTGTTAAATGGGATATAATAGGACTCAGTGAGGTGAGGAGGACAGATGAGGCCTATACAGTGCTACAGAATGGGCACGTCCTTTGCTATCGGGGCTTGGCTCACAGAAGAGAACTGGGAGTGGGGCTCTTAATTCACAGAAACATAGCTGGCAACATAGAGGAATACTATAGCATTAATGAAAGAGTGGTATGTATCGTAAATAAGCTGAATAAAAAATAGAAGATGAAGGTGGTACAGCCTTACGCGCCTACATCCAGCTATGATGACGTTTCAGTTGAAAGCTTCTATGAAGACGTGGAATCGGCAATGAGTAAGGTAAAAACACAGTGTACTATACTGATGGGAGGCTTTAATGCAAAGGTAGGGAAGAAGCAGGCTGGAGACCAGGCAGTAGGAGATCATGGCATCAGTACTAGAAATGCCAGAGGAGAGCTACTAGTAGAATTTGCAGAATGCAATAATTTACAGATTTTTAATACCTTCTACCGAAAACGAGGAAACCGTAAGTGGACATGGAGGAGCCCTAATGGCGAAAAAAAGAACGAAATAGACTTCATAATGAGTGCAGACCCAGGCATCGTGCAGGATGTGGAAAAGGTTGGCAGGGTACGATGCAGTGACCATAGAATGGTACGGTCTCGAATTCACCTAGACTTGAAGAAGGAACGAGATAAACTGATACGCAAGAAGCCAATCAATGAGCTAGCACTGAGAGGGAAAGTACAGGAATTAAGAGTCTCGCTTCAAAACAGGTACTCGGTTATTAGTGAGCAAACCAACCTTAACGTAGATATAATGAATGATAATCTGACGAGTATCATTACGGAGTGTGCAGTGGAAGTTGGAGGCAGGGCAGTTAGACAGGACACTGGCAAGCTTTCCCAGGAAACGAAGAATCTCATTAAGAAGCGTCAAATCATGAAAGTCTTAAGTACGACAGACAAAATAGAACTGGCAGAGCTTTCAAAGTTGATTAATAGGCGTAAGGTATGCAAGAAGGTATAACATGGAGAGAATTGAACACGCTCTGAAAAACGGAGGAAGTGTCAAAGCAGTGAAGAGGAAACTTGGGATAGGCGAAAATCGGATG